TTTGATAATTATGAATAACAAAACAAAATAATATAAGTTAAATTTAAATATAAAATAATTCAAATACTCAACTTGGTTTATGAAAAAAAAATGTTAGTACTTTGATAATTATGAATAACAAAACAAAATAATAAACTAACAAATCAATAACTATCTTCAAACGTCATAAACAATGCAGTAGATATTAAGTCACGATTTTCAGTTACGGGAGTTTGAGTACGAAACTCACTTGATGACACATCAGAGTCTTGTTGTTCTGAAGATTGAATGTCAAAATCCTGTGGTTTTTTGGTGAAATCTTCAGTACTTTCCATCTAAAAAAAATAACATAATACAAATAGTAGGTATTTATTTTATGTATAAAAATAGTACATAATTTAATAGGATTAAATAAAAATATAACTAACTAGGCAATAAAGTAGAAATATTAATAAAAAAAAAATTAGAAAAAAGTAAGTAAATATATCTTTCAAATGAAATACAATTCAAAAATGTTTCAGGTTCCGGCCACAGATGAAGAGTGGAATACAATAGAAAGGGGATTCAGCTCAAGGTGGAATTTCCCAGGAGTATATGGAGCTATTGATTGGAAACATGTATTAATTCGTGCACCAATGGATTCTGGGAGTGATTTTTTTAATTACAAAGGGACAAATAGCGTTATTTTATTGGCAGTTGTGGATGATGATTACTGTTTTACATACATAAATAATGGAGCGAATGGAAGGTGCTCAGATGGTGGTGTCTTTCAAAGCAGTTCAATTTTTAACGACCTTGAAAAAAACATGTTACCCGAGGGTGGATTTATAGTTGGAGATGCTGCATTTCCACTAAAACCATATTTACTGAAACCATATCAACATTCACCACTAACTTTCGAACAAAAAATTTTCAATTATAGACTTTCAAGAGCGCGGAGAATTGTTGAAAATGTGTTTGGAATCCTCGTGAGTAGATTTAGAATATTTGAACGACCTATTGCTACAAATGTGATGGTAACTGATAAAATTATCCGGACAACATGTGTTTTACATAACTGGTTGAGGAAGACGTCAACTACTTATTTGGTGAAGGAAAATATTGATCATGAAAACGTAGACACTGGAGAAATCATTCAAGGATCTTGGAGAACTGAGAACTTGACGTTGTTACCAAGTGTTGAGCGAATGGGCAATAATCACTCGTCAAGACTAGCAAGAGAAAAGAGGGAAAGTTATACCAGATACTTTTCCAATGAGGGTGCTGTTCCGTGGCAGTCAAGAATGGTTCTTTGAATGTTAATTAAAAGATAAAAATAATAATTTTAACATAATTAAACTTTACTAGGCATACCTATATTAAATTTTGAATTTAAATTTGAACAACATGTTAATGCATTTATAAATGAATATATTATATTAAGTAATACAGTTTTTTTGTATGGGTACTTACGTTGTCAAATGTTATTCTTCTTCCATCTACATTATTTAAGAGGACGTTTGACATCTGTAAATTCGTCCGTAAAAACCATTTCACGCGGGAAAGAACCGAGAAGGCTATAGTTGTAACTAAGAAACGAAAWTTTCACCACATAAAAAGGAGAATTTTGTCTGTGCAATATCGTTTTTGTTTTTTTGATATCACTTATACAAAAAAAAATATTCATGTTAAAAAAATAGAAAAATAATGGATTTTGAAACAACGAGAACTTTTTTTGTACAAGTGATATCAAAAAAATTAAAACGACATTGCACAGACAAAATTCTCCTTTTTATGTGGTGAAAATTTCGTTTCTTAGTTA